AATTCAGCGCGCCCAAATAGACACTCCCACACCAAGCCTCTTTTCTTCCTCCGACACTCCCACTAAACAGAGCTGGACACGCCCACTTTTCTGACTTTTTCCAAAGTAGAGGTGTGAAAACACCCTGCTGAATCGAGGGGGTTTCATGGCCCTTTAAGGGTGGCCTGGTGGCTCAGTAGTAAGCACTGTCGCCTCACAGAAAAAAGGTTGCTGGTTCGAGTCCCGGCTGGGCCAGTTGGCATCCCTCCGTGTGCTCTGGTTTTCCTCACAGTGCAAACACATGTGCTATAGTGTGTAACTAAATTGGATGTAGTGCAGGGGTGGCCAACCCTGTTCCTGGAGAGCCACATGCAGATTTCAGTTGCTACCAATATCAAACACACCTGAACCAATTAATTAGGACCTGAACACCACGTGATAATTACAGGCAGGTGTGTTTGATATAGGTTGCAACTGAAATCTGCAGGAAGGTAGATCTCCAGGAACAGGGTTGGCCACCCCTGATGTAGTGTATGAGTGCGTCTGTGAATGTGAGAGTGAATGGGTGTTTCCCAGAACTGGGTTGCGGCTGCAAAGGTATCTGCAGCGTAAAAAAAATGCTGGAATAGTTGGCGGTTCATTCCACTGTGGCGACCTCTGAAATGACACTAGCGTTTAGAAGATAAAACTGATATGAAGATGTAAAGCTTGCAGTTTGTCACTTTCACCGAAATGGATCAACAAATTTATTCACGTCACCTCAGTTTCTCATCAAATCTCCTGACCAATTAAATCTCTCTAGAATCTCTCTAGTATCTGGCATGCCCTGCCCCCTTCAAACACTATTGGCTGTTTTATAAAAAGGCGAGGAGCTACACCCACCCTCTCTTTCTATTTCAGTTGAGATTATGTCAAACATTGAATAAATAAGCACATTTCAAAGCACCTTACGGGACCTTCAAGGGGTGTACTTATTCACCCAGGCCAATGTATACTATATAAAAGAAATAAAAATAAATAAAAAGAAAGAAAGAAAGAAAGAAAGAAAGAAAGGAGACAGAACAACCAAACAAAAGAAAAAAGAAGAGAGAAAGAAAGAATAAACGAAAAAAAGAAAGGAATACAGAAAGAAAGAATGAACAAAAGAAAGAAAAAAGAAAGCAAGGGAGAAAGAAAAAAGAAAAAAAGATGAAAGGAAAGACGGAATAAAATGAAGAACGAAGGAATGAACGTTTAAACAAATGAAAGAAAGAAAGAAAGAAAGAAAGAAAGAAAGGGAGATGGAACAACCAAGCAAAAGGAAAAAAAAGAAGAGAGAAAGAAAGAATAAACGAAAAAAGAAAGGAAGACAGATAGAAAGGATGAACGAAAGAAAGAAAAAAGAAAAAGAAAAAAAAGGATGGAAAGAAAGATGGAACGAACAGAAGAATGAAGGAATGAACGTTCAAACAAATGATTGAAAGAAAGGAAGGCAGAAAGAAAGAAAGAAAGAAAGAAAGAAAGAAAGAACCGAACAAAAGAAAAAAAGAAGAATGGAAGGAAAGACGGAACAAACAGAAGAACAAACGAATGAACGTTCGAACATAGAAATGATTGAAAGAAAGAAAAAACAAAAAAAGAAAGAAAAAGAAAAAAGAAGAGAGAAAGCAAGAAAGAATGAATGAACAAAGAAAGTAAGACAGAAAGACAGGATGAACGAAAGAAAAAAAGAACGAAAGAAAAAAAGAACGAAAGAAAGAAAGAAAGAAAGAAAGAAAGAAAAAGAAAGAAAGAAAGAAAGAAAAAGAAAGAAAGAAAGAAAGAAAGAAAAAGAAAGAAAGAAAAAGAAAGAAAGAAAGAAAGAAAGAAAAAGAAAGAAAGAAAGAAAGAAAGAAAAAGAAAGAAAGAAAAAGAAAGAAAGAAAGAAAGAAAGAAAAAGAAAGAAAGAAAGAAAGAAAGAAAAAGAAAGAAAGAAAGAAAAAGAAAGAAAGAAAGAAAGAAAGAAAGAAAGAAAGAAAAAGAAAGAAAGAAAGAAAGAAAAAGAAAGAAAGAAAAAGAAAGAAAGAAAGAAAGAAAGAAAAAGAAAGAAAGAAAGAAAGAAAGAAAAAGAAAGAAAGAAAGAAAAAGAAAGAAAGAAAGAAAGAAAAAAGAAAGAAAGAAAGAAAGAAAGAAAGAAAGAAAGAAAAAGAAAGAAAGAAAGAAAAAGAAAGAAAGAAAGAAAGAAAGAAAGAAAGGTACCTGTCATTCCCAGCATGATAGTGACCACCACCTGTCCAGCAGTAGTGATGAGGTTCCCGATGATCTCCTTGAGTTTGGCAGCGACTCCTCCAACCGCGCGCAGGATCTTCATCTTGGTGCTCTCCTGCACTTCCTCTTCCTCCTCCTCTTCCTCCTCCTCCTCCTCCAGTCTTCCGGCTTCTCCATCTTCTTCCTCTGCTTCATCTTCTGCATCAAAGTCCTCGTCAAACAGCATTTCATCATCATCATCATCATTATTATCATTCTCATCTTCTTCATTTTCCAGCTTCTCGTTTTCCTCCTCCTGTGTGTGACGAAACAACATAAGGAATATTTACATTTTAACATCTATTCATCCTTCATTAAACAGCATTTCATCATCATCATCATCATCATCATCATCATAATAAGTTTTCAGCTTCTTAATTTCCTTTTCCTGTGTGTGACGAATCAACATAATACATTCATTAATTTCATTTTCCTTCAGCTTAGTCCATTATTTATCAGAGGCCGCCACAGCGGAATGAACCGCCAACTATTCCAGCATATGTTTTACAAAGCGGATGCCTTTCCAGCTGCAACCCAGTACTGGGAAACACCCATGCACTCTCACATTCACACACACTCATACACTAAGGCCAATTTAGTTTACCCAATTCAGCGCATGTGCATGGACTGAGGGGGAAACCAGAGCACCTGGAGGAAACCCAGGTCAACACATGGAGAATATGCAAACTCCACACAGAAATGCCAACTGGCCCAGCTGGGACTCGAACCAGTTACCTTCTTGCTGTGAGGTGACAGTGCTAACCACTGAGCCACCGTGTTGCCCCATAAACATATTTTATATTAGAATATTTAAATTCATTCATTCTTTCATTTTCCTTCTGCTTAGTTACTTATTTATGAGGGGTCGCCACAGCGGAATGAACCGTCAACTCATTCATCTATTCATTCATTTTCTTTTCAGCTTAGTCCCTTTATTAATCTGGGGTTGTCAAAGCAAAATGAACCGCCAACTTATCCAGCATATGCTTTACCCAGCGGATGCCCTTCTGCAAACCATCACTGGGAAACACCCATACACACTAATTCACACAGATACACTATGGATAGTTTCAGCTTATTCAATTCACCCATAGCGCATGTCTTTGGACTTGTGGGGGAAACTGAAGCACACGGAGGAAATCAAGGTCAACACAGGGAAGAACATGCACACTCCACACAGAAATGCCAACTGGCCCAGCCGGGACTGGAACCAGTGACCTTATTACTGTCAGGCGACAGTGCTAACCACTGAGCCACCTAACATAATAAATAATTACATTTAAACATCTATTGTCGTATTTCAACACTCATCATGTAATTAATTATTTCTGAGTAATCAATCACAAGTTGACTCCAGAGTTTCTAGTGTAAACTTGTAGTATTTTTTTTATTTATCTTTTTTTTGTGAAAAATGATGCATTAATAATAAGCAATAAATATTTGCAATACATAATTTAAGCAATAAACAGCTGGCAGATTAAAATGAGAACAGAAAAATAATTAGCATTATCTACATAAATGAAAGTGAAATAAATTAAAATTATAAAATAATAAATACACAAATGTAACTAATAATAATAATAATAATAATAATAATAATAATAATAATAACAATAAATATTATTCTTCTTATTATCATTCATTCATTCATTTTCTTTTCGGCTTAGTTCCTTCATTAATCTAGGGTTGCCACAGCGGAATGAACCACTAACTTATCCAGCATATGTTTTACGCAGCGGATGCCCTTTCAGCTGCAACCCATCACTGGGAAAGACACCCATACACTCTCATTCACACTCATACACAACGGCCAATTTAGCTTACCCAATTCACCTGTACCGCATGTCTTTGGACTGTGGGGGAAACTGGAGCACCCGGAGGAAATCCACATTAACGTGGGGAGAACATGCAAACTCAAACACCAACTAACCCAGCCAGCAACCTTCTTGATGTGAGGCGACAGCACTAACTACTGCACCACTGCGTCGCCCTATTATTATTATTATCAATATTTTTGTAAAATATTATTATTATTATTATTATTATTATTATATTACATAAAGAAATACAAACTAAATAAATACCTGCAATAATCAACAAGAAAATATTTTTCTGAAGATTAAAAGCTAATTTTTAATACAAAATGTTTCAAAAATTGTATGTTTAATATAATGTGTTGCTCGCTGTTTCTTTGAAAATAATTGTGAAAAATATTTTTAAACCAATAGCATTCAGTTTGGAAGGAAAAAAATTCAAAAACAAAAAAATACAATGCATTTTGTATACTTTCGACAATCTATTTAAAATATAAGGAGGAAAAATTATTTAGAATTATTTATATTTTATCTAATCAAGGTTTCCTCCGGGTGCTCCGGTTTAGAGGTCTGCATTCCTGCGGGACCCGACCAGATTTCTTTCGGTGCGGGAATAAATTTCCGAATAAAGCGCGGGAGCGGTCGGTAACTGGTGAATTTTTGGACGGGAGTGGGCGGTCTAACAATATCGCTCCCGACTGTGGAGGAAACCGGAGCACCCAGAGGAAACAAACACGCCAACATGGTGTAACACCGGGGAGTGACACCAACAACAGAAGGTAGGATCCAAATGCAGGTTTATTCACAGTCAGGCAAGCAATGGTCAAAATCAGGTATGAACAGGTATGTGCGGGCAAATCCAGAGTCGTAAACAAGGTACAGGCAATAGGTCGAAAGGCTGGCGGCTAAACAGGATAACAAGGATACAAAGCTAGGTTCAAACACGGAGAAACAAGACAGGGAGAAACGCGTTGTAATGTCACTTAACAGTAAACAAGACTCAGCAAAATGTGTGTGGAAAAGAGGGGTTTAAATAGTCCAAATAATCATTGTGTGAGTGGCTTCAGCTGTGAGAGTTCAGTCTATGACAAGGTTCAGGTGGTGAATGCAATCAAGTTAGATGAATGAGCATGGGTGTCAGGGAGGGGTGCATGTATGAAAATGTAGTCCAGGAAAAGGCGGAAGTGTAGTTCTAAGTGTGTGTTTGTGTGTGAGTGTTTACCAGCGACATCTGGTGGTTGTTCACTGTTGAACATGACACATGGGGAGAACATGCACACTCCACACAGAAATGCCAACTGACCCAGCCAGGACTTGAACCAGTGACCTTCTTGCTGTGAGGCGACAGTGCTAACCGCCGTGCCACCTAATATTTAAATATTAATAAATATGATATAAATAAAAAATGCAGTTAGATCAAAAGTAATCCAAAAACTCTCCAAATGTGTCTAATTTTAGCAGTTTATGTTCACAATGTCAGTTTCCGTTGTGTAATTCGAAATCAGTAACAGGCTAAACTTGTAAGTAATCTGCTCACAACTGAGTTTGCATTGCACAGCATGTAAGCGGTAGAGCTTTTGTGTTTAAGAGCTGTTTATTCTGGTTTAGATTAAACACACAAACAATACGCTCACGGAGGTTTAATGGCTCCATATGAATGGCCTTTAGCTCAGGAAACACTTCCTGTTCACAGTAGCACACACTGTGTTTATCAGCAGCATGAAGTCGTTCTGTAAACCTCATGTAAGAGTTTTTCACTTTATTAAAGTTACAACTTATCACCTTTTAGACAATATACATAGATATATACACTAGATATCGCATAGGGGCCCTGAGCATGCGTCAATAGCGCCGCCACATTGGTACAGTGCTCCCAGCACAAATGTCATTCAACCGCACTAGTCAAGACAGTGTTATAACGTGAAGATGCGGGACTTTAGTGCTGTCTACGGGTGTAGTAACGAGCAAACAAAGAAAATAAAGCACAAAGGCAGAACAATTCATAGGTAATATTAAGTTTTTTTCTGTTTTTGTATGTTCTGAACTTTTGTGCTAATCAGGTAACGTTGTTGAACTAAACACTCGGTTTATGCTAGTTTTGTTGAATAAAATCAGCAAACAATGCAAAAGAAATATGACAACAAGATGCTGCGCTGCCAGAAACTTGTATTATTGTCGGCTAATGCCTAGTTCAGACTGCTTGATTTTAGCCCCGATTTTGGCTCGCCGACAGGTTTTGAGAAATCGCCGACAAAAGCCTGAAATCACAGGCAAATCGCTGCTCGTGCACGTGAGTGACAATCACACAGTATGAACGATCAAAGACGCGATCTGAGAGAATTGCCGATGAGTCGCCGATGTCTGTGAGATATTTGGCGTGCTAAATATCTGGAGCTGTCGGCGATTCAGATCATACCGTGTGAATTGAGTTTTGACTGAAAATAACATCAGCCATCGCCTAAAGCCAATGAGAGAGCAGCTTTCACTTGTGTGTGTGTGTGTGTATACCTGCTGCAGGCCAGCGGGAGGCTGGGGGAGAAGTTAAAAGCGCTCTTTTTCGGTTTATTTTGGACCCACGAAATGGAGGAAAAACTAGTGGAGGTTTGACAGGACTCAGGAGCAACTGTGTCTGTTTGACGTTTCATACAGAAAGAAATTAGTTTATTATCAACGTTAAGGAGAAATGGCTAATTCCCTTTAAACCCAGGTGAGCAAATATAGATATTTTCTACCCCATTAAAGGCTTCTTTCTCATTATGTAGTTAATAACAAATGACATACGACGTGTTTTTGGCTGTGAGACGTAGTTTGGACGAACTTGTCGGCGATTCTTCCTATAGTAAAGTCGTGCAATGTGAAAGTCCTTGTCACAGATCAATCTTGCAGTGTAAACAAAGCAGCGACGAAACGCAAGCCCAGATAGTCATGCAGTATGAAAACATCTGTGACACGATTACTTTGAAAATCATGCAGTCTGAACTCGGCATATCGTTAGTGAAAGAGTCGTTCGGGGGATTTATTCACAAACGAATCGCTCCCTCCGTCAGTATGAGAAGTGAAAGCAGGAGTGGAGGTGTGTTTCAGGACATGATTAGATCAAATTTAACAGGGAGGGGGAATAGTACATTTCTGTACACACAAACACAAGCTTTTTGTCAGGAATGCCCGTGCGGTCACTGATCCATCAATGTAGAAAAGTGATGTAAAATGATAGTTTTCGTAATTAGAAAAAAAAATTACATACTAACATCCAGGAAAACTCCCGATCATAGATATATGTGTATATGTGTATATCTCTGGCTTTGGATGGCCACAGTCCTCCACTGTACCTTGGTCCCGCATTCATTTCAAAGGAGCGCTACCCTGTAGCAAGATGGCGGCGCTATTGACACATTCCGTCCAATAGACAACAATAGGCCAGGCGACATCTAGTGTATATATC